CTATCCCAGCCTCAGTTAATCCTCTAGAGCAGGAATTTGATGATGATGCAGGAGAAGAACTTGATTTAAGTCGGAACAAAGACGAGAGGGAAGTTATTACATGCGAAGAGGAGCCAAACTTTGAAGCCGGCCGAGTAGCGGAAAAAGTCACGAAACAGGAGGATAGTCGAAAGTACAGTAATTTTCAATCGCTTCTAGAGATTGTTTGCTAGAATCACCAGTAACCCTCTGGAAAGTTCCTGTCGCATAGAAGCTTAAAACAATTAGCACTTGCTGCATTGGTGTAAGCGGCACACCTGTCCTTGTTTGTTGTTGTTGAAGATCTTTATCCAAAAATTTTACAAGATCACTGACGTACCGAGTCCTCTCTAAGGCGAAAACGCAATGAGGGGGGCGTAAGGGTTTGCGGTGATGCGGTTTTGCGTTGTTTTTGGTGCGGTTTTACGGAAATCTCTATTTTAAACTGCGATATTGTGGTTTTATAAGACTAAGCAGTTTGCGGTTTTCATAAATTTTGGATCGCGGTAATCGGTAAAAAAGAGTCTGCAGCCGTCTGCGCTTTCCAGTTATGACAGTTATTATTCGGATCCTGACGCTTCCGATGACTTTTGATCTCTTGTTTATGTTTTGCAAGGGACCACTGTTGCGTAAGCAAGCTTTGCTGTTTGTAATTTCCGCTTTTTCCAGTTAATAATTGGCATGATTAACCATTTTATCCAATGATACGTCGACTTGTTCACTTTCCGCGCTGGGAATCTTTCGCTCAGATTTCCTATAGTATTTGCCGTGGCCTAGTGCGGGACAATGTCTGCCGAGCAAGAAGAAGAGATTGGAAGCTCAGCGACGTTTCTTCTGGGAGCAAGAACTCCCTCCGGGAGAGTTATAACGCTTCAACAATCGTTTGCTTTACTGAACACGTCATGGGGCTGTCTACGTTGTCTTCGGGTTATTCAGAATTCTTCTTGGAAATATTTTAAATGAAATTTAAGGTTGATTCAGTCGAGTTGCGACATAAAATGGGTTCCGAGTTCGTATTCGGGATATTTGAACTTGAAAACTATCATCTTGACGAATTTTCACCGAAAAAAACTCGATGAAAGCTTGCGTTGTGTAAAACATTCGAGTGGTTTCCAGTGCTGAAGTCGTAAACATCGATGTTTTTCAATTGGGTCTCAGCAGTATTCGTGCTGGCGCGAGCGCACTTATATTAGTTCCACAGCAGCATAACGAAGTCAGTCTCACGGACGTGTGTCAATTATTGATCTTTTCAGTACGGAGTCATGGAAGTCGTCGATACTCGTCAGAGTGCACGATGATAAGATCAGTTATAATATTACAGTGTTATTTTATGAGTGCGATGATCATACGTTGATTAACATTAACCTACACTTTTATCAAACTAAATAAGGTCGTATTTCTAATGGAATGGCGAACTAGAAGTAATGATGGCGGCACCGTAGCACATTTGTAACTACGGTTTCGGTATTTTGGTAAATTTCCATGCGGTATTGCGGTTTTTTACGCTTTTTTGCGCGGTTTTGCGGTTTTCGGACCCCCCATACGCCCCCCTCCGCAATCGAAAGTCTTCGTGGCCGTATTCCTCTAATGGGTTTTATCTATTCCTAGGCCGGGTGCCAAATTGTTCGAACATGTATATTACGTCGATTGGCGTAGTTTCTTAACTGTCTGTAGCGCAGAG